ACCTCAAGCTCAGCCTCCCTCCTCGGTGCATCTGCCCATCCCGACGGCGACGACAACGGCGACGCCGACGCCGACGGCGACGGTGACGGCCTCTGGGCCATTTGATCTGCCCTCGAGTCTGGTGTTCGTCGCGACTGCCGCCAACTCGTGCAGCCAGTCCGCGGGCAGTGGTCACACCAACAGCACTGACATGTCGGCAACAGAGGCTGTACATCTGCCTCCTCTGCACCAGACATTGCCGCCGCCGCCGCCGCATCGACAGCCCACGGGGCCGCCTTTTGGCGTGTCTGCCCTTAGCGACCAAGTCACCGGTTGCCAACCCGTCTCGTCGGGACAGCGCTACCATTTGCAGACGCACACGAGTCCGCACATTGGCCCCTTTCATACCCACAGCAACCAGGCCTACTCGACGGTGCACAGCTCTCTGGAGGACGGCATGAGTCAATCCTCCGCCGGCGCCTACCCTGACGACTATCTGCCGAATGTCGTTTTCGACGAGCCCCTTCTCTCCGACCGACTGAGTGGACTTCGCCTGTCCCCGGCGGCCACGAAACCCGGTTCCGTCGTCAAGCCGACCAAGGGCTATCCGCCTACCGATCGTCTAGACCGGACTGCATTTGGCGGTAGCAGCGATGCTGGCAGTGGTCTTGGCGACAGCAGCGGCGGCGGTGGCAACAGCCCACTCGGGCCGACAGGCACCACGGCCTACGCCAACAATTGGTCTGCAATGGTGCCGGGTGGCCCTTCTGGAGAGGTCTTCTCCAACTTCAGTCCACCAGAGGCTAGTCCAGCGGCAGTTGCGATGGCCGTTCCAGGCCTACTTGGACTTCGACCTCCCACTGCTGGAACAAATGTTTTCTATCTTTCAGAAGTGAATCGCGTTGTCTAATCCACCGGTGCCGCTGGCCACATCTGCCAGCTGGCCCGTTTCGGGGTCGACCTCGGACTACCCAGCCGGAGCCACGAGTCTCACATATCCCGATTCCTTCAGAAGACAGCTTGAAATGAGCAAACCCGACTTTTTCCATGTCCATACAGAGATTTTTCACTCTTTCTCTATCCCCCTATACATACACAAACACACACACACACACACAAGCATATATATATATATCGGCCTCTACATCCATCTGCCCATCTCTCTGTCTTTTATTATATATACCTCTTGCTTCTTCGAATGCGCCACCGAGGTCGCCGCCATATTCTTGAATCCTCGCTCTTCTCTCTTACAGTTTTGCCACAAGAACTTGTTCTATACAACGGGAGCTCTTCTTTCCTCCGTCTGGTCAATCTTGTCCGTCTCCTTTTTATCGGCTCTATTCGACTCCATTCTCTAGGCCATATTCACAGATGACATGTACAGCTTGAAATCGTTGGCACACACGGAAGGACACAGACGCACACACGGCCGCAAATCCTCATCGGCCATAGGCTATACTTGCTTTCGTCTGACTGTATGCGATCAACAGATCTCGTCATTTCATTGCTTATCGTCACGTTTCGGTGTCAGTCAACTTAAAGTCACCCGGTTCCTTTTGCCTAATGCTCATCCTGACCACAGCCTCCTTTGGACAGATGCAGGTCTAGTAAGGCATTGGGACTCGTGTGGCTTAAAACCGGACAACCCTTTTCCTATTTCCCAAGAAGGTCTCTCTTACTTCCGCCCTTTTACGTCCCTCCTCCACGAGGCATCACATTTCTAACTTGCCTCAGCTCTGCAAAGTTCCTCATATTCTTCTGCATTTTGTGTTCTCATGTGTGTCTCTCGAGATCTCCCCAGATGCCAT